TGGGCGGCACGTGTTGCTCGGGGCTGTGGGGCGGCAGGTCCCGGAGCCCCGTGCCCCGTGGGGACTGCCCTCTGCCGGCCCCGCTCCCCTGGCACTGCGGCCCTGCTCCCCCGGCTCGAGCCCCGGCTGTGGGGGCAACCGCGCGTGCCTGCCTGCCCCACGGCGGGGCTGTGTGGGGCTGCTGCCGCACGCTGACATACTGTATGTACAAAATAAAGTATTCTGGAAGTACCTTGTCCCCCTAGCACTGCCAGCCCCACGGCGGGGGGGACACACAATGGTGAGGCTGATGGGAGGTGGGGCAGCTCCCTCCCTGTGGACCCATGTCATGGCCACAGCTCCACCTTCACCGGGGTCCCTGGGGTAAAGCCTCACTGGGTGCAGTGGTGGGACCCACTGTCCTAGGGGCTACGGGGGGGGGCAGGCAGGTGCCCAGCACCAGGGGAGGTGGGGGCTGAGCCGGCCTGGGTGCTGCTGATGTGCTCCTGGAGACCCCAGGGTGCTCTGTGGGGCAGTGGGACCCCCAGGGTGCACTGGGATGCCGATGCCCTGGTGGGACCCTCAGGCCACAGCGGGATCCCCAGGCCATGGCAGAGACAGGCAGCACCAGGCAGAGCGGGGACGGGCACAGTGCCTGGAGCTCCCTGGCACTGCTGGACACCTGCCTGGCACAGCCTCCCGCCGCTGCTGACCCATGCACAGGGACGGGGTCAGACTGGTCCGTACTGGGAGCGGGGACAGGGTCAGACTGGTCCATACTGGCACCGGGAGTGGTGGGGTCTGTGCTGCCACCCTACCCGTGGCGTTCTGCACCCCCAGGACATGCACCCCACGGGGAGCAGCACCCTGACCCCCCCCCTCCGGTGTTCCCAGCTGCCCCAGGCACTGAGCCAGGCTGGTTGCCTGTTCCTGCCTGTCCCTGCCCGCGGCTGGTGGCCAGAGCAAACAGGCACAGTGGGGCCAAGGCCCTTCCCAGCACTGGGCTGGCAGGGGACTGCTGGGAAGGGGCTGGGATGGTGCCAGCCCCTGCCTGCTGCACCCCTGGCTCCTGGGCACCCTGCTGGAGGGGGAGCCCCCTCCCCAGACCCACTGCATGGGGGGCTGAGCCCTGCTGGGATCTAAACCCCCTCCCCAGCTCTGCTGCATTGGGGTCTGAGCCCCAAGAGGGTCTGGGTCCTGTTGGAGTCAGACCCTCACCCCTGTCCCTGCTGCACTGAGCCCCACTGGGGGCTGAACCCCCCTCCCCAAACCCACCGTGTCGGGGGCTGAGCCCTGTCAGGGTCTGGGCACCACGGCAGTTGGACCCTCATCCCTGTCCGTGTCACCTCGGGGTCTGAGCCCCACTGGGGGCTGAACCCCCCCAGCCCCACTGTGTTGGGGTCTGAGTCCCACTGGGGGCTGAACCCCCCTCCCCAAACCCACCGTGTCGGGGGCTGAGCCCTGTCAGGGTCTGGGCACCACGGCAGTTGGACCCTCATCCCTGTCCGTGTCACCTCGGGGTCTGAGCCCCACCAGGGTCTTGAGCCCCCTCCCCAGCCCTGCCATGTCGGGGGCTAAGCCCTGTGAGGGTCTGAGCCCCACTGGAGTCAGACCCTCACCCCCATCCCCATCTCTGCCACATCAGGGGCCAAGGACCTGCCGTCACACCCAGTGGGGTGTGAGCCCCATTCCTGTCCCTCCCCAACCACCCACTGTGGTTCCCTGTGCTGCCCCTGCCACGTTGGGGGGTGATGACAGGGGGGCCCCCCTGCACTGCCATGTCCCCCCCCCCCCCCCCCCCCCGCGGGAG